TATAGCTTTGCTTGGGTTTATTTATCCATTTATTTTTTATTTTACTAACTGATGGAAAAGACATATTGTGTGTGTGTGATTTTTGTCTCTCTCAGTAAGGATAATTATGGTATAATTCCTATTATTATTATTATTATTACAATCATCATTTAGTTTTCTTAAGCTTCTCAAATTCTAAGGGCATTAATCAGGGTCTTTCTGACTTGTGAGATAGAAGAGAAATCCAAACTGTTGTTTTTGTTTTTTTTTTTTTGAGACAGAGTCTCACTCTGTCGCCCGGGCTGGAGTGCAGTGGCCGGATCTCAGCTCACTGCAAGCTCCGCCTCCCGGGTTCACGCCATTCTCCTGCCTCAGCCTCCCGAGTAGCTGGGACTACAGGCGCCCACCACCGCGCCCGGCTAATTTTTTGTATTTTTTTTTTTAGTAGAGACGGGGTTTCACCGTGTTAACCAGGATGGTCTCGATCTCCTGACCTCGTGATCCGCCCGTCTCGGCCTCCCAAAGTGCTGGGATTACAGGCTTGAGCCACCGCGCCCAGCCCAAACTGTTTAAGAGAGAAAAGAATGCATTGATCACCAGGACTCACAAGTTCCCAGGTTTAACCTGCTTGAGAAACAGTTACACCTGTGGTTTCAAGTGGCATCCTGTGATTCATTTTCTCTCTCTCTTCTCCTCTCTTCTCTCTCTCCTTCCCCAACACCGGCACCATGTTTAGCATCACGAACCTCAGGCTTAAACAGCACGACAGGCTCCTCCCAGGTCTCCAGCTACATAACCCTCAGACTTAAACAACAGCAGCACTGGCTCCTCCCTGGGTCTCCAGCTCCACAGACCTGAAACTAAAATGGCAGCATTGTCTCCTCCCCAGTCCCCAGCTACAGACCCTCAAACTAGAACAGTACACTGGCACCACCCAAAGTCTCCAGCTCCACACCTCAAACTAGAACTCCAGCACCCGCTCTTTTCCGAGTCTCAATATCCGCGACCCTCAAAACAGCAGCACCGGCTCCTCCCCTAGTCTTCAGCTTCACGACCCTAACTATAATAGTAACTACTTGCTCCTCTGTGGTCAACAGCTCCAAGACGCTAAAACTAGAACAGCAGACCAGTGTCTACCCAAAACACCAGCTCCAAGACTCAAACAAGAACAGCAGCACTGACTTCTCGCCAGGTCTCCAGCTCCATGACCCTGAAACTTGAACTGCAGCACGCGCTCCTCCCCAGGTCTCCAGCTCCACGGACCTTAAACGAAAACAGCAGTACCCGCTTCTCCCCAGGTCTCCAGCTGCAGACCCACAAACTACAACAGCAGCACCATCTCCTCTCCGGGTCTCCAGCACCATGACCCTAAAACTAGAACAGCAGCTCCAGCTCCTCTCCAGGTCTCCAGCTCCACGACCCTAAAACTAGCACAGCAGCACCAGCTCCTCCTCGGGTCAACAGCTCCAAGACCCTCAAACTACAACAGCAGCCCTGACTCCTGTCCAGGTTTACAGATCCACAAAACTCAAACTTGAACTTCAGCACTGGGTCCTCCCCGAGTCTCCAGCTCCCTGACCCTCAAACTAGAACAGCAGCACCATCTCCTCTCTGGGTCTCCAGCTCCATGGACCTTAAGCTAAAACAGCAGCACCAGCTCCTCCCGAGGTCCCCAGCAACAGACCCTCAAACTACAACAGCAGCACCAGCTCCACTCACAGCCTCCAGCTCCCCACCTCAAACTAGAACTGCAGCACCAGCTCCTCCCCAGTCTCAATAGCCACGACTCTCAAAATAAAACAGCAGTAGCGGCTCCTCCCCTGGTCTTCAGCTTCACGACCCTAACTATAACAGCACCACCCGCTCCTCCGGGGTCAACAGCTCCAAGACCCTCAAACTACAACAGCAATCCGGCTTCTACCCAGGTCACCAGCTCCAAGACTCTCAAACTTGACTTGCCAGGTATCCAACTCCACACCCCTCAAACTTGAACCGCAGCACCAGCTCCTCCCCAGGTCTCCAGCTACTCGTCCCTCAAACTGTTGCTCCTCCCCGGGTCGCCAGCTCCAAGACCCTAAAACTAGAACAGCAGACCGGCTCCTACCCAGATCACCAGCTCCCAGACTCTTAAACTAGAAGAGCAGCACTGACTTCTCGCCAGGTCTCCAGCTCCACGACCCTCATACTTGAACTACAGCAACAGTTCCGCCCAGGTCTCCAGCTCCACAAACCTTAAACTAAAACAGCAGCACCAATTCCTCTGCAGGTCCCCAGCTACAGATCCTCAAACTAGAACAGCAGCACTGACTCCTGCCCAGATATCCAGCTCCACAAACCTCAAACTTGAACTGCAGTACCAGCTCCTTCCCGGGTCTTCAGCTCCATGACCCTGAAAATACAGCAGCAGCACTGGCTTTTCCCCAGGTCCCCAGCTCCACGACCCTCAATTTTAAAAAGCAGCGCCAGCTCCTCCCTGGGTCAGCACCTCCACGACCCTCAAACCTGAACCGCCGCACCGGCTCCTCCCCGAGTCACCAGATCCCAGACCCTCAAACTAGAAGAGCAGCACTGACTCCTCCCATATCTCCAGCTCCATGACCATCACACTTGAAGAGTAGCACCATTTCCTTTCTGGGTCTCCAGCTCTACGACCCTCAGACTTGAACAGCAGCACCAGCTCCTTTCTGGGTCTCCAGCTCCACCATCTTCAGACTTGCACAGCAGCACCAGCTTCTCCCCAGGTCTCCAGCTCCACGACCCTCAAACTAGGACAGCAGCACCAGCTCCTCCCTGGGTCTCCAGCCCCTCAAGTCTGAGGGTCGTGGAGCTGGAGAACCGGAAAAGAAACGGTGCTACTCTTCAAGTCTGAGGGTCATGGAACCAGAGACCTGGGGAGGAGCTAGTGCTACCACTGTTCAAGTTTGAGCATCTTGGAACTGGAGACCCAGGGAAGTGCCACTTGAACGGTAGCTCCTCCCCTAGTCTATAGCTCCATGACCCTCAAACTTGAAGAGTTGCACCATTTCCTTTCTGGGTCTCCAGCTCCACGACCTTCAGACTTGAACAGCAGCCCCAGTTCCTCCCTGGGTCTCCAGCTCCATGACCTTCAGACTTGAACGGCAGCACCAACTCCTCCCTGGGTCTTGAACCTGCCCAGCCTGCAGATTTCAGACTTGCTAGCCTTCAGGATCACATTAGCCAATTCCTTAAACTCAGCCTCTTTCTCTGTATGTAGGATATGGACACCTCCTGCCGGCTCTTTTTCTGGAGAGCCCAGTGAACACACCATGCATCAGGCTCCATCATTCACCAAAGCGTCTTTCCAACAGCCTCTGCCGTGATATTTCTTAAATAAAGGTCACTCCAAAGACCCTCACCTCTGGATTGTAACCAACTCAGTGGCAGACTTAATCCATTTCTACCTGCTGACATTTCTCACATGGAAAAGGCTGGTTGACAGATTGAAGCTGTCTCCCCCCACTCCCCACGCCAGTGCACACTTCTCCCTTGAATGTTGATTTTGTGCTCATTTTAGAGACTGAGGCAAAAAGACAGACAAATACAAGGCCAAGTCAGTGACAAATAAACAATGCTATTTAGGCATTGAGAGTGTGTTTTTGTGTTTGTGATTTTTTGCTAATTAATTCCGCCTGTAGAGGAGGGGGAGGGAAAGGAGGAAGGGAGAAGTTCCCTGGCAGGGCTGAGAGGCAGTGTGGTGTCTGGGGCTCCTGGAGTGCAGGGGGATGGCCTGGCTCTGCTGCCTTCTATGGGTAAGGGTCCACTGCTTTTTTTTCTGGGACTTAAGTCACCTGGGCTTATACTAAGCGGCCCTCAGCAAGCTCTTCTCCCTTGCCCCTGCCACCAAGAGCCCCAGGATGCCCTAGTTCCTGCCCCTCCAAGACCTGGGACTCCTGCTCCTGGGGCCTTCTGGTTGGTTCTGCTTTTCCTTGCTTCAGGACCTAAATGGATTCTGTCACCTGCCTCCTCAGAACCCTGAGCGATACACCCACTGCCTGTCACCCAGGACGGGTCCACCCAAGTCTTCCATCCCAGGAGAGTCCTTCCTGGCACCTTGTGAGCCGACAGCATCTCCAGGGAACCGCAGGACTTCGGGGGGCCTGGGAAGCATCAAGAGCTTCAGGAGGGGAGCCCCTCACAGGTAGGGATTACGGAGCCCTGCAGGGACCCTTAGAACAGGTAGGTCGGGGTGGGGCTGAGGTCTTGGCGCCTTGATTCAGGTTCCTGGCTTAGGTCCCACCTCTCTGAAATCTCCCACCCACAGCCAAGCCGCTGGCCACCCCACTGATGCCCTGTGTTACACTGTTTTGATGGAGACCTCACCAGGCTCTCCCACCTGCTCTCCTCCTGGAGCAGGGAATGTTGGAATTTGGGGCTGATCTGCATATGAACGTGACTCTTAACAAGGTGAGGGGCTTGAAGTTCTCTGGGGCTAATGACTGCTCCGTGAATAATGGTCCCTCTTAACATGTAATTAAACATTTATCAGATGTATTTCTACAGAAACATCCATCTTAAGAGGTTACTGGATTTCCTGAAACGAGGCAGATGTACTCCCAGCTCCCCCTCCCCTCTCCAGCCTCAGTTCCCTGGGCCGGATGCCCCCCTGGGGCCTGTGGTGCAGTTTCGGTTGGTTCACCCCATGCGGAGCTTGATGGGGTTGGATTGGGTTTAATCAGAATGGTAAATTGCAAATGATACAGGGCCTGGGCTCTGTTGGGATACTTGTGTTGACCAAGTCCCTTGTGAATTAAATCATTTAATACTGGAAATGGAAAAGGCCCCTCATCTTCCTTCTGAATGAGCCGTGAAATAGGCTCTGGGAACGGCCTCCAGGGTGAAGTGGTTGTCAGGGCTTGGCGCCAAGATCTGATGGGGGGGTCAGAAGACAGGGCACCAGCAGGACAGGGTACTTGGGGAGGCCTATCACGATGTGCCACAGATGCATCCTGTGTCGGTAGCACCCCAAACTCGGGAGGCTGGTCGGGGCGCAGCTGACATACCTGGGATGTGTGCACTGATCGCATACCACATGAGGCACCCTCAAAGCATCCGAGAACCAAATAATCACTCCTCAGCTTCCCAACCCGGGGACAGGTTTGGGCTCTGGCGTGGGACAGCGCTTGTCTTCACTCTGAATCTCTGACCGCAGCTTTCTCAATGCAGTGCAGGGGTTGACTTGGCAGATGAGGCTGCTGGGACTCAGATCACCTCACTGGCTTGAAAGCGGATCTAATCTGCTCCCAAGAAGGTGGAGCCATGGACTAGCTGGTCCCAGCCGTGAATTCTCTGAAAATTAAAAGAATAACAAAGCATATCAAATAGGATTAACACAAACACTCCTCAACACAGTGCCTGTGAGGCAACAGAAACATGAGCACAGAATGCCCATCAGTGGGGGACCACCAGGCCCGATGTCTCCAAAAGCAATTTGCTGGATGTATCAAGAGCTTAAATTTAAAAAGCACTTAATCCTTGATGCAGTTATCACACACATAAGATATTATCTTAAGGAGCTGTTCATAAATGCAAACCAAGATTATGTAGTAATACAATCATTGCCACATAAATTGCAACAGCAAAAATTGGAAGCAGTACAAATGTCCAATAATATAGGAATGGAGAAGGGTGCACAGGTTTTCCAAATAGGGAAATATTGAAGGATGATTTGATCATATGCTTACCTGAAATTTTCAATAGTGTAGAAAGCGCTCGTGATTTCATGTGAAGTGAAAAAAATGGATACAAAAACATGGATTTTACACTCTTATCACACATGCATCCATATTCAGAGGAAATAGTTAAATAAGAGACAAATCAGGGTACCAACAGTAGTAACATGTCAGTGGTAACATTATAAATGGTTTTCATTTTCTTTTTTATAGTAGTTGTATGTTTTCAAATTTTCAAGCATGATCAGGTCTTTTAAAATCACAAGAAAAAAACTAAAGTTGCCAGTTGCTACCAGGTGAAAAGGACAATATTCTTTAGCAATTTCTGCAAAATACAGGATCCTTCATAACATATACAGGTCCTTTAATAAGTGATATGTTGAAATTTTCAATACAAATTCTGATGTAAAATAAGGAAAGAAACATTCAAAGTATTCATTATCATCTTCTATTCATGTTTGAGAAAGACACAGAGAGTCAAATTACTTTGGAAAGCCTAAAAATTGTTGGTTTCGTTTTAAATTGATATCTCTAACACCTTCATGTGACTTCAGTAACCTATCTGCTCCCTGCCAACCTTAAAGTGCTTAATTACCACAAATTTCTGAAATCCATCTATCATTTGAATAACCTTTGTGAAATCATTATTGAGTGCTTTTAGAGGATTTGATCACAGCAATAGAAACAGGCCCATTTGTCTCCGCACATGCAAATGACTTATTAACATTCAAGCGATGAGTTCACTTTACCAAGATTCCCAAGACATGCATCATCCCCAAATGTTACTTTCCTCCCTCAAGTCCTTTCATATCATCCCTTTGCTCTAGGACGACCTGATTCCTCACCAGCTTACATTCCCAGCAGCATCTGGCCACCTTGCCCTCTCTGCTACCCCTGGCCTTATCACAGTTCCTCAAACCGAACAGGCTCAGCCCAACCCAGCACTTGGCACTTGCTGTGCTTTGCAGAGCTCCCATCCAGTTCTTGCCTCGCTCAGCTGCAGCCTGTGGGATGTTCCTTAGTCCCAAGAAGACACGGCATCCTCCTTACCCCCAGTCCTTTGCACACGTTGTTCCCTTTGCTGAAACATTCTTCCCCTCCCATCGCCTGCAGTTACTTGGTTAATTCCCGCTTCCCTTTGACAGACTTTCTCTCCATTCCCTATGCCCTAAGCTCCTATCCCCTGACCCAGGATCAAACTCTATAATCCCCCAAATGTTTCCTTTGCAGCATTTTGCACATTCAGTTACTGGATGATATTTTTATTGAGTCTTTGAATAGTTGGCTTCTCTTCTGGTAACTCCATGAGGGCAGAGAATGAAAGTCATGCGCTCACCCCAGGAAGGTTGTCTGTTAACAAAGATTAACTGAATGACTGGTGGATTTGCACAGCATTTAGGCCTTTGTGCCCTGTGCTGGAATCATTCTTTGCTTGTATATGAAACCACTTTACCTGAATGGAATTTCCTTTGTCATGCTACCTGCAGGTTTAGTGAAATGACAGTCCCTGTAGAGTACAGAGAAGCCTCCAGCTGCCTCCCTATGCTGGGGTGCGAATTGGGGGAACAAGACTACATGAATACATGAAGGAATGAAATGCACCACACAAGAGCACCAGCATCTGTTCACCTACACATCAGTCACTGATGGCATCCAAAAGGAAAAGACCCTTTCTCCTGTATGACATTCATCTCTGTACCTGTCCCAGCCCTGGAACCACCAGAAGGAACAGCGGAGAAGGGGACCCCAAGCCTTAGTGAGAGGTGGGTAGGGGGAGAGGAAAAGCTTGGAATTAAATGTGATATTAAAATTTAGATTTGGACCAGCCAAGGCTTTTACTATCTAGATGAGAGTGATAATGATTAATGAACTTGTTCTTATAAATAAAAGTGAACAAAAACCCAAGGGATCTTCCCAAAATGTCATCCAGAAGCAGGGGCCTGAGACCTAACAATAGGGCAGGGATTAGGGTGAGGCAAGGGAGACACTCACCCCAGGTGTAAAATCTAAATGGGCACCAAAAAATTCAATAATCATGATAAATAACATCGTTAACACAGTACTTTTTAAAACTCAAACTTCATGCAAAAAAATCTGTGATTAACAAAATATTAAAAATGTAAAGACAGGATCCTTTGTGAGAAAGAAGGAGAAGGAGGAAGAAGAAGAAAAAAGGAGGAGGAAGAGGAGGATGAAGAGGGGGAGAAGGGGGAGGAGGAGAGGGAGGAGAAGGGGGAGGAGGAAAGGGGGAGGAAGGGGAGGAGGAGGGGGAAAGGAGACAGTATTCAATGCAGCACTTCCACAATTTGGCCTCACTTGCTCACCCTAACCCAGCCTTGCCTCACAGAAGCTACTGGAAGGCAGCTGCTGGAGAAAAGTGAAGCTGTTTCCTGCTTGCATTCAGTTCAGACCTTCCATAAACCAGCTACAGGTGAGACAGTGATGAACCACCTGGGCCAAACAGGACTGAAATCTACCATCAGGACCACAATAACCAGGTCCGTGTTGCCCATTCCCAGCTGCGCTCAGACACTTTGACTTAAAGGTTCAGGCCAGGGTTGCTTCTCTCATTGACATCAAGAACTTGTTAAGAGAAGTAAGTCTCAGTTATAGGAAGTCAGATCTTCCCAAGGGATGCAATCAAGGAGTTTATTTATTTAAAATGCAGCCCCGTGTGGGAGTAGGAAGGGGAATGAATTTTTTTTTTTTTTTTTTTTTTTTTTTTGCGATGGAGCCTCACTCTGTCGCCTGGACTGGAGTGCGGTGGTGTGAGCTCCGCTCACCGCAATCTCCACCTCCCGGGTTCACACCATTCTCCTGCCTCAGCCTCCCAAGTAGCTGGGACTACAGGTGCCCCCCTCCACGCCCGGCTAGTAAAGACGGGGTTTCACCATGTTAGCCAGGATGGTCTCAACCTCCTGTCCTCGTGATCCACCCACCTTGGTCTCCCAAAGTGCAGGGATTACAGGCATGAGCCACCGTGCCCGGCCAAGAAGGGGAATGATTCTTATTTCCATCTTTACTCACTTTCTCTTTATGTCATCTCTGACCATGAGCCTGGCATTTCTGTAATAAAAGAGCAGCAGTTGCTAGGGTTCTATTTGGAGGGGAAAGTACAGACCGCCCATCAACATGGTCAGGTTTCTCCCACATCAGCCCCAGGGAGCAAGAACTGCCAGCTTACAAGGACAGGTCCGTGCTCTGTGGATGGGCCAGAAAGAGGGTGTGCAGTGAGGGAATGGTAATCACATAGGAGAAAATGGCCAGGGTCACAGCCTGGTTTGTCCCCTTCTCACTGGAGGCCTCCAGAAGGCTGGTCCAAGCCAGTGACACCCGTGCACAGGGGTCGAAATGAGACCCTCTAATTGTGTCCTGGTGTCTTGAGACTGCCTCCCACCCACCGCCCCCACCGCGGGGCCCTGCACTGGCTTCTCCAAGAAGAAACTGGGAGGCTGAGGGGCTGACCTGGGGGGAGACCTTTCACTCAGTCCCCGTGGACCTGCTGAAGGTTTCACTTATCCTTAAAAAACATGCCTGCCTCTTTGCATGTCTGTCATAAGGAACATGTGTTACTTTCCTAAAGAAGGAAAACATCACTCCAGACCACCTGTGTGTTTAGCAAACACCAATTCCCAGCCCAGAGCAGTGGGTTTGCTGCTGCTGCTGCAAAAAGCGAAAGCTCAAAACCCATGTGGAGCCTTCAGAGGCCGCCTGGCCCCCGCTCACCCTTCGGAATTCACTCACCGGTGTGTCTGGGGCTGTTTCTTCTTGGTGTCTGGTGTCAGGAAAGAGAAGACACGGGGACACCAGTTGGGGGTTTAATCCCATCAGACCCAAACCTCGGTTCTCTGTGCCCCTCACGTCACCCCATCGAGATGTCGCTGGGACTGAATGAACCATGAGCTGCTGCCCTGAGCAGTGAGTCAGATCCACGAGGATGACCCCTCACTGGGCAGCCCAGCTCAGACCTTAAGGGAAACAGGCCTGGGGGAAGGTGGGTGGAAGGACAGGGCCCCTGGTGGAAGGACTCACAGGGTGAGAGACTCCACCCACTCAGGCGATTCACACTCGGGGTCTTTGGGGGCCCTCGAAGGAAATGTTGGTTCACAGTGAACACAGGTCCAGCTATTCAGGGTCACAATTATCTGCAGCAGGGACAACCACCCACTCCCAAAAGATGAATGCTGTAAGGCAGAAATTTTAGCTCATGATAAATTTTTTAGTGAAAATGATTTCTGTAATCATGTTTTATTTACCTGTATTTAAAGATTAAAGTTTCAATATGGCACCTTAATTCCTTAAGGAAGAGAAAGAATGCGCATCTTGGGGTAATGGGGACCGGCAGCTCCGTGAGTCAAAGCTTTCTGTGGCTCGATCTAGTTCAGGGTCTGAGTGAACGTTTAACGTGCCTGCAAAAGCCTCTGGTAAGCAGGGAGCTGTGTTACAGGCAGCAGAGCCCGAGGACTTGCCAGAGCTGATGGGGATTTCAGGGAGCAGGTTCGAGCTCCTCGTGAGGTGGAATGAGAGGAAGGCTCTACCCGTCTCCTGAGTCAGGCTGGACTCAAAGCGGAGAGAAAATTGTTTAAATGAAACAAAACACTGTCATTGCAATAAAATGTGACCATTCTCTTCCCTTTTCTTTTCTTTTTTTTTTTTTTTTTTTTTTTTGGACACAGTTTCTTGTTCTGTCACCCACCCAGGCTGGATTACAGGGGCATGATCTTGACTCACTGCAGCCTCAACCTTCCAGGCTCAAGTGATCCTCCTGCCTCCTCAGTAGCTGGGACCACACCCATGTGCTACCACATCTGGCTTT